CCGCCCGCCGCCGCCCCGGCTGGAGAGCGCTGGGCGCGAGCTGCGCGCGCGGACCGGGCCACTCGGTCGCGGCTTTCGGGGGAGGAGGAGGAGGAGATTTTTTTTTACCCTCGGCGGGGAGGGGGTAGGCAGGAAACGGCCGAGGCGAAGCCAGGGCCCCCTCCCTGGCCGAGCGAGGGACCGCGGAGACCCTGGCGGCCGGACGGCGGCGTGGGGGAGGGGCGCGTGGGGGAGGGGCGGCCGTGCGGGCGCCCTTCGGGCTTCGGCCCCGGTGGGGTTGGATTGAGGTAAAGTGGGGTTTCGACGTGTGGGGCCGACCGCGGCCCTAACTCCTTCCCCTCTGGAGTTGGGAAGGCGGGGGGAGGGAGCGGGTGTCCAGCGGAGCCCCCCACCTGCGGGGACTTTGGTGCCCGCCAACTCTGGGGCGTGCGGTGGCACATGGGGGAGGGGTCGTGTGAATGTTTGTGGGCGGCTGACGACTAGGGGCAGGTGGTGGCCACACTCCACGCAGACCACTTCCTGGAATGTGACTTGATCCTATCCCCTCTCCCCCCAGTTCGTAATAGGCAGAGCAGTCACTTAAGATTGGGGAGCGAGAGGACAGTGTCTGGGAAACCAGATGCCCCCAACTCCACCCCCTTTATCTCTCCTCTGCTCTGGGCTCCTTTGTGTCAAGTGCGCCCCCCCTCCCTCCATGACCCCGTCAGTCTGGGGTGGCCGAGCTGCCCAGCTGTGACTCTCACGTGGCTGCCATTCACTGTCACTCTCTCGCTCAATCCACCCACACCCTGACCACTTTGGGGGGCGTGAACTTCCCACCCAGCTGTTCTGCAGTTTGACCATCACTCAGCACCCCTCCCCGGGATAAGTCACCCGGCATTCTGGGCAGTTCCACCAGTGGCAGAGGGGACAGACCGCTGCCTTGCATGGGGGGCCCAGCAATGGCCTCACTCAGACCATCCTCCTAGTGGAGTTATTTCTAGTTTTCTTTACAATAGGTGAACATCTTTAGAGTGTTCACACCCCATGCTTGGGGAATGAAAGGGGACATCCGCACCTCAGGCCTCTGGGTGCTGTGCTGCACAAATGCACCAAACTTCAAAACATCTAACATCATGCTCTTTGTAAAACTGTCATATTGATCTGTGTGGCTTATGTGGCAAATGATCCTGTCTAGTTGAGACAACCTTTGAGGGAATGTCGCATGTTTCCTTATGAGGGGCAGAAGGATGTGTGTCTGATGGAAACAGAATAAAGCCCCCCGCCCCCCACCAAGCTTGTCTGAAAAAGGGAAAAGTTTTTAGAAAGTTATCCCAGAGAGCCCACTGATTTGCACGAGGGAAAAGGAATAAAGAATTGTGGGGAGGGGGTTGCCTGGAAAACAGCAGGGGTGCTAAAAAGAGGGAAAGAAAGGATGTCAGGTTAGGTTAGGGGTTTGGCGGCTCTCATCTATTTGTATTCCGAACTTGGAATGTGGTGTTTGGGTGTTTTTGATCCCGGATTTGGGTATGTGGGAGAAAGAGGAGCATGAAAGAATCTGAGGTCGAGATGGGTCTTTGTGTCAATCCTCCCTCCCCTTTCCCAACTCTGCCTTCTGAGTAGACGAGAAGAAACGTCAATGTTTTTAAATTTTTATATTTGAAATGAAAAACCACCTCCTCTCTCTCCCAGGGCAATTTATCTCCCTTTCAGCCCTCCGAGTCAAATGAGTGACCCAGATACACCCCCTCAGATGACTTTCTGAGGTAAAACTTTGGGAAAATATTTTTAGTCTGCTCATTATTTTTGTCTACCTAAGTGTGAGCAAAATAACCCTCCTAAAGGAAATTTATTCCGGCTGCCCTCCCTCTTTTCTCTAGAATATGAATTTGTACGTATTAGGGGTTTCTATTGTTTTTCATTCTGACTGCTTTGATTCTCACCATTTTGTTTTACATTCTTACCCAAGACCAATTTTATCCCTTCCCCCCTCTCCAGTCTCCTTACATTGTTAAACGTTTAAAATAATAGCACTCGTGTTGATGGGGGAAGGGAGCAGGAAGCCAAAAACTCATTTCTTCTCCCTCCCCCTTCTGGCAAGTCTAGAGAAATAATATAACATAATATATAGATGTGATTCCTTGGGGGTGGGGGTGGGGAATGATTGTGGGTGGTGCGGAAAATTCTGGTAGTTTCTTTGCAAAAGGTCTGAAAATACAAACCCACCCCCTGCGTGCAATACGCATGTGCAGCAGACCTATTATGGTAGTTCGTTGTGGGGGAGGGAGGGGAATTTGAGAAAAAATAAATATATGTGTGAGAGATTGATGGTGAGATTAGAAGGAGAGAGGGGCGGGCGGGAGGCGAGGCTTTCTGCGAGGCTCCTCCTGCTTTCTCCGGCTTGCCAGGCCCCGCCCTCCCGTTCCTCGCCCGCCCTCCTCCCTCGCAGTCTTCCCGAGATCTGAGCCAGGGCTGTGGGAGAGTCTGGGCTCCAGGCCAGCATTGAGTGGCTGGTGAGACAGAGGTTGGGACTTAGATTTGCGTTATTGCCCTTCCTTTCCTTTCCTCGCCATTCTACTTTGCCTCTCCCCATCACCGCCGTCTTTCCAAGTTGGGGAACCTCCTGCTGGGGTGGGGAGTGGGATGGCCAGGGCTTGTGCCCTACCCCCAGCTGGTAGTGACCGAGGCCGGTTCCCTGATCCTTAGCCAGTTGGCCTGCCCTTGCCACTGCCCCGGCAGTCTCCGTTTCCGTGTTCATATTAACCGAAGTCCCTGGGGTTAGGAAGAGCTGGCTGCTGGGGCATGGCGTCTTACTGGCTTCCTATTACAGTGCCCATTCTGTTTTCACACCCGGGACTTTCTGCAGCCGCCCTCCAATCCTAGAGTGTCTTCCTGCACCAGAGGACATAGGATGCTGGAGTTATGAGAAGTAGCATTGAAGGAAGGAGGTGCCCGTATTCTGAGGCAATGGAAACCTAGGCCTCTGGTGTTAATTGGGGCTAATTTTCCCTTGGCTGTTGTGGGAGGAAGGATTGTGTGTCCTAGAGCAAGGGGTTGGGCCAAGCCCAGGCTTTCCCTTCCTGCACAACTGCCTCTGCCTGGGCAAGACAGGTCTGGCTGGTTAGTCTAGTGCTTGCTAGGGGACGGAGGCCAACCAGGGCCCCATGTCTGTGTGGCATCAGTGTCTTCCTCTATGTGGAGTAACTCTCTGTCCCATAAGCCTTCGCAGACTGGCAGGGGTCATGGATAATGGGGTTGGGGGACATCAGGGAAGAACTGGCCCCAGCCTTTCTAACTGAGACGTCTGGGGAGAAAGCCAGGGACCTAGCCCTGCTTTTAAAAGCAGGTACAGGCTGTCCTCTGGATTTGTGCTCATGAGTATGTGTGTATGCTTGTGCAGCTGAGAAGGCATATGTGGGGTGTGTCTGTGCCTATATCTTTATTTGGGTATCCTGTACTGTTTATATATGAGTGGGTCAGAATGTCTGGGACCAAATCTGGAGACAAAGGGTTAAGACCAGGGGGCAAAGGGTAGGGCCCCTGAGTTCTCAAAGGGAACAGGGATGTGGAAATAGATTTGAAGGCAGATTCCACGCTACTTGGGAGGAGGACGAATGTTAAGGTAATTGTGGAGACTTTCTCCTGTAGGGTGTGATGAAGGAGCCAGACACACTGATCCTGTGGGCAAGACGTGAAAATGACCAGCTGAGGATTTTTTTTCCTCCAGGGCTGCGTTGGGGTGACAGGAGGCTTGGTGATTATCTGAGGAAATATAAATAGAGGCCTCCTACTTCGCAGAAAGGATGTCAGGGCCCCAGGATGTTAGTGTGAGAACCCAGGTGTCCACCTTTGGCTCTCTCTTCTCAGCATCTGGCTTAGGGAGCTGCCAGCTTGTGTCTCCCCACTCCAAGTGCTGGGGTCAGGCCAGGCCAGCAGCTGGGCATGGCTTCCCCAGTTCCTGGGCAGAATGCCAGCTGGCTAAGTGAGGGGGAAGGCAAAAGGAGCCCTGGCGGCGACTGAAAGGACCTGCCACAGTCGGAGCCCATGGCCTAGAGCCTGGGCCCTTGTTAGTAGGAGGGGAGAGAAGGGAGGGGTTTGGCTGCTCTTCCCTTCTGACCTCTGACCTCCCATTCAGAACCCAAGCATCCCAGAGTACTCGAAACACTCTCTGTTTGCATCCAGTGAAGGGAGGCAAGGTTTGGAGGAATTAAAGCCGAAGTTCCTGGAGAGTGGGAACTGAGGAGATGAGGAAG